AAAAATGTATTTTAAAAATATGTAATTATTGTCGAAGCTGGTTTGGCTCAGTGGAAGAGCGTCGGTCTGCGGGCTGAAAGGTCCCAGGTTCGATTCTGGTCAAAGGGCGTGTACATTGGTTGCGGGCACATCCCTGGAGGGGGTGTGCAGGAGGCAGCTGGCCGATGTTTCTCTCATCAACATTTCTAGCTCGCTCTCTTCCTCTCTGTTAAAAATCAATAAAATATATTTAAGAAAAAAAAAGTAATTATTTAGACCAGTGTTTCCCAAACTTTTGGCATATGTATACCCTTTCTATAATTTTCGTAACTGAGTACCCTTTGTACTTGTGAGAATGTAGAATTAGGTGCAGCTAAACACGGTGCAGTGCATATCCCCACCAAACTCCAGTGCAATGCGTACCCCCACCAAACTTCCTGTACCCCTGGGGGTATGCGTAGCACACTTTGGGAAACACTGCTTTAGACGTACAAGCATACCCTAATATGGGGAGATCTTTCCTCACTGGAATTAGATCAAATCCCTGACTTTTTTTTTTTTTTTTTTTTTTTTGTATCCTTCATGTACTTTGTCACGTTTCATGTGTGTTCATGACTTCTTTAAGATGTTTAAATTGATTTTGAGAAAGGAAGGGGAAGGTAGAGATTCATCAATTGGCCACTGGGGATCAAGCCCACAACCCAGGCTTGTGCCTTCTCCCAGCCAATTGAGCTACACTGGCCAGGGCTGCTCATGACTTTATTTGTTTAAAAAAATTTTTTTTAAAATATGTTTTATTGATTTTTTATAAAGAGGAAGGGAGAGAGATAGTTAGAAACATCAATGAGAGAGAAACATAGATCAGCTGCTTCCTGCACGTCCCCGAATGGGCTTGTGTCCTCAACCAAGGTACATGCCCCTGACCGGAATCGAATTTGGGACCTTTCTTACCACTGAGACAAACCGGTTTTGGTATGACTTTAAATTAAAAACTGCCCAGTAGCTGAAACCAGTTTGGCTCAGTGGTAGAGCGTCAGTATGCAGACTGGAGGATCTCAGGTTAGGTTCTGGTCAAGGGCATGTACATTGGTTGTGGCACATCCCCAGTGGGGGGTATGCAGGAGGCAGCTGGTCAATGTTTCTCGTCAACGTTTCTAGCTCGCTCTCTCCATCCCTCTCTAGAAAATCAATAAAATATATTTAAAAAAACACACAAAACTGCCCAGTGGTGTGGTTCAGTGGATGAGCATTGACCTATAAGCCAGGAGGTCACTGTTCAATACCCTGTGCGGGGCGTACAGAAAGCAGCCAATCCATGATTCTTTCATCATTGATATTTTCATCTCCCTCTGCCTTTCTCTCTGAAACCAATAAAAATATATTTAAAATATGTATATATTTCGATTTTTAAAGAGGAAAGGGGAGAGAGAAACATCAGTGATGAGAGAGAATCATGGATCGGCTGCCTTTTGCATGCCCCCCACTTGGGATCGAGCCTACAACCCACCATATGTCCTGGTCTGGAATCAAATCTGGGACCCCTAAGTCCATCCTTGGAGCCAATCCAGCTAGGGCGAAAATACATTTTTGAAACAAACTGCTAAGCACCTACTAGGTTGAGTTCTAAGTATCCAGCACATATTTTGATGTTGGATGTGACAGGAGCTTGTGTCTTGCTACTGCTGTATTGCCATACTGTTAGTGTCTGTCTTATACATTTATAGGACTCCAAATTATTTTCTAAACAGAACTTTTCTATTGGTCATTATCTTGGAGGTAAGGAGGAAGGTCTTTTAACCCATCCTATTCATTTTGTGTTTTTTTTTTTAAATCTAGATCGAGATGCAAGAACACTTTTGGCAAAAAATCTGCCTTATAAAGTTACTCAGGATGAATTAAAAGAAGTGTTTGAAGATGCTATGGAAATCAGATTAGTCAGCAAGGATGGAAAAAGTAAAGGGTATGTTTTGTGTCTATCCGAATGTTAAGAGTTTTATAAATCAATGTGATTCTAATTTATAAGGAAATGACCCAACTTTCTATGTATATGATATGGGCAAATCTATAACTTATGCCTTGATTTTCTATCCATACAATTGGGATAATGTACTTTAATTCATAGTGATTTAAAAGACGAGTTAATGTGAAAAAAGATTACAAAATATATAGTGCATGCTTTGTAAGGAATGGCAATAATTTTGAAGTGAAGTGGGCTTACTGTGAACACATTTTCTAGGAATACTTGGGAAGAAAGTTTTTGCTAATCTTACCTGATGACATTTTTGTCCATTTATTTTTCAGAGAATGGAAGAGAGAATCATTGATGTGAGAGAGACAAATAGTCTGGTTGCCTCCAGCTGTGCTCTTGAGCCTTTGTTAGTGAGTCTGATGCTAACCAGTATCCCACACCAGTCTGGGTTGGAGGAAAGTTTTAATTGAAAAGTGGAGGATGGCAGAAACCTCAAACATGCCAACTATTAAAATAGTATAAAATTGGACATTTTTGTTGTATTCAGCTGAAATAAGGTCATTACTGAGATTAAAACATTTGTGTTAAAAATTAATGTGATTGTCCAACCTTCATGGCAAACCAGGAGGTCACAGTTTGATTGAAACCAGCCGAGTTGCAGGCTCAATCCCCAGTGTGGGGCGTGAAGGAGATGGCCAGTCAGATTCTCTTAATGATATTTCTCTCCCTCTCTGAATCAATAAAAAATATATAATTTAAAAATAAATATGGTTTTAAAATTCAAATTCTTTTTTTATACATGCTTTTGCAGGATTGCTTATATTGAATTTAAGACAGAAGCTGATGCAGAGAAAACCTTGGAAGAAAAGCAAGGAACAGAAATAGATGGACGATCCATTTCATTGTACTATACTGGAGAGAAAGGTCAAAATCAAGACCATAGAGGTGGAAAGAACAGCACCTGGAGTGGTAAGAATTTATAATCTTCCTACAAGGTTCCAGAATTGATGGAGCGAAATCCTTTGCATTTTTGAGCTTTAAGTTGACTGAGTGTGGATGTTGTTAAGCAAGTTATGCTTATATTTGTAATAGTAATTCTGTGTCTTGAATGTACATTTTCAAATTTTTCTTGCACAATTTAAAATTAGAATATTGTTCTTGGAAGATATAGGTCAGTAGTCAGCTTACACTTTTGAATAACAGGAATGAAAGGAAGCCAGACATAACTGCATTATAGGTACTCAGTATATTGACACACTCAGAATAGGGTTCTATATGCATCAACTTTTCTTTGTTAACTCTCCTAAGCACAGAAATTTTTTTATATTCTGTTGATTTTACACAGAGATGAATTGAGAGAGATAGAAAGTTAGAAACGTCGATGAGAGAGAAACATCGACCAGCTGCCTCCTGCAACCTCCCCCACTGGGGATATGCCCACAACCAAGATATGTGCCCTTGACTGGAATCGAACCCGGGACCTTTCCGTCCACAGGCCGATGCTCTATCCACTGAGCCAAACCAGTTTCAGCCTAAGCACAGAAATTCTTAAGAACAAGATATAGCCGAAGCCAGTTTGGCTCAGTGGTAGAGCGTCGGTCTGCGGACTGAAAGGTCCCAGGTTCGATTCCGGTCAAGGGCATGTACATTGGTTGCGGGCACATCCCCAGTATGGGGTGTGCAAGAGGCAGCTGGTCGATGCTTCTCTCTCATCGACGTTTCTAGCTCTCTATCTCTCTCCCTTCCTCCTCTCTGTGAAATATCAATAAAATATATATTAAAAAAACCCAAAAAAACAACAAGATATAGCTGTGACTGAAATTGCAAACCACTGTTTCACAGTCTTAATTTGACATCTCTTTATTTGTAGGTGAATCAAAAACTCTGGTTTTAAGCAACCTTTCCTACAGTGCAACAGAAGAAACTCTTCAGGAAGTATTTGAGAAGGCAACATTTATCAAAGTGCCCCAGAACCAAAATGGCAAATCTAAAGGGTATAATAATTTATATCTTTATGTTGTCAGTCATTGGCTGTAAGAGTGTCTTGAATAGTAGATATAATCCTCTCACCCTGTCTGTTAGAAGCTGAATCATTTTTAGCTATATAAATAAGTATAAAGAGCTTTGTTTATTTGCTTGAGGGGCGAAAGGCCTTCTGGCATCAGATGTGATTGCAGAGGAGCCACGGGCTTGATATTGTATTCTAAATATTGTTCATCCTTAGGTATGCATTTATAGAATTTGCTTCATTTGAAGATGCTAAAGAAGCTTTAAATTCCTGTAATAAAAGAGAAATCGAGGGCAGAGCAATCAGGCTGGAATTGCAAGGACCCAGAGGATCGTCTAATGCAAGAAGCCGTAAGTTAAAATTACCAGAGTGTTGTGGTTGGGGGATAACTGTGCCATGCTTTAACTTGGGTCAGATCTAGAGGTGAACTTTTTTTTCTATTGTTGCTGAGTAAATGACACTGGATATGATGATCGATTATCTGAGAAATAATTGATGAAATCCAAGAAAATTCCTCTAGATAGTCAAGTTCTGATCCAGCCATGTCAACTCGAGCAATAGATCTGCCCATAGTTTACTGCATGTTGTGGTTGTTGCTACCTGCTTAAGATCTGTCTCACTTGTTTGGATTGGCTCTCTTGCTTTCTATAAAAGATCTGCTTTGGTAGACAAGGTAGACTTGAGATAGCAGTTGATTTAAAGCCTTTGTTTTTGTTAAATATTAGTTGGCTAAGATAACCTTTTTCTCATAGAGACACTTTAGGGTTCTAATATGATAAGCATTCTTGGCTAGTAGTCATTTTGAATCTTACATAAGTCCATATCATCATTGTGAATGAAGTGTTATTTTTTTTTCTTCCCCAGAGCCATCCAAAACTCTGTTTGTCAAAGGTCTATCTGAGGAGACTACGGAAGAGACATTGAAGGAGTCATTTGATGGTTCTGTCCGGGCAAGGATAGTTACTGACCGGGAGACTGGCTCTTCCAAAGGGTAAGGTGCAGGAGGGTACAGTGTCCACTGAGTGGGGACCTCTCATCCAATGTGTCTTCTCATTGAGCTCCTTTCTGTCGCTCTGTGGCAGTTACGGATTCGCACGAGAAGAAGAGACAATTCACAGAGCTAGCATTATTTTGCCTCTTCAGAGGTATATGCTGCTGTTTTGTGAGACATTTTTGCATTTAGGCTGTCAGTAAACCCAGTTTTAACTTTTTGGAGAGAGCTACTCTTACCACTTTGGTCTTTTCTCAATTGAGCAAGGCTACCTTTTAGGATTATATTTGGCATTTATAGTCAAACCTCAGTTCTCAAATGTCTCCCATCTCAAACAGTTCTATTCTAGAGCAACTTGTTCAAAGAAAAAAAAATTTTTTTCTAGCTGAAACCGGTTTGGCTCAGTGGATAGTGCATCGGCCTGTGGACTGAAAGGTTCCCTGTTCGATTCCGATCAAAGGGCATGTACGTTGGTTGAGGGCACATCCCCAGTAGGGTGTGCAGGAGGCAGCTGATCGTTGATTCTCTCTCATTGATGTTTCTAACTCTATCCCTCTCCCTTCCTCTCTGTAAAAAATCAACAAAATATATTAAAACACAGACACACACACACACACAAAAACAAACAAAAAAATACCTGACAGAGCAATGATGACAAGAAAGAAAAAAAATTAAAAAACACCTGACATACTCTTTAAAAAAATTTTTTTTTCCTAATAACAAAACTGCAGTTCTAGATCTGATAACCCTTTCATACATTAGCATGACAAAAAGCATCTCTCGGCCTGCAAACAGAATGTCAGTCAGTTTATCTCTAAACTTCTAGTAACTACGGTTCTCAACCAGTGTGTCGTGACCCCTTTGGGGATTGAATGGCCCTTTCACAGGGGTCACCTAAGACATCCTGCATATCAGATATTTACATTTTTTAATTTATGATTCATAACAGTAGCAAGATTACAGTTAGGAAGTAGCAATGAAAATAATTTTATGGTTGGGGGTCACCACAACATGAACTGTATTAAAGGATCGCAGCATTACGAAGGTTGAGAACCACTGTTCTAGTTTGTTTTTATGTGTTTTGCTGGTGAGATGGATGATTATAATTTTAAAACTAGTGCTGATGTTACTGTGTGAAAGTGTTCGCAAAACAATGATCACAGGAAATTGAGAGAGAAAAACTGTTGCTGATTTGGATAAATGAAAAGCAGCTGGCTGAGGCCATGATTCCTGAGAAAGAAGATGCTGCACCACTGGAATGTGTGCTGAAAGTGATTGAAAGCTAGTTAAGGCCAAATTGACCTATGAATCAAGGAGGTCATGATTCGATTCCTGATCAGGGCACAAGCAGGGCTTGTGGGCTTGTTCCCCAGATCATGCTCCGTGATCATTGATGTTTCTCTCCCTCTCTCTTTGTCTCTAAAATCAATTTAAAAAAAAAAAAAAAAATATATATATATATATATATATATATATAAAGTAAAGCTAGTAGGGGTGGTTCCATAAAAGTAAGAAGAGAAATGTTTCTGTATTAATATGTTAAACATGTACTATGTATAAGAAAGATTAAAATAGAATCATTTAGTAGTCCTGAATGGATTCAGTTTATATTTCTAGTGGGGGGAAATGATTCCATTTTTGAACAAATTGGTTTTTGAAGAGCCTTCTGGAATGAATTAAGTTAGAAAACCTAGGTTCCACTGTATTCCATAGATCTTTGCTTTAATGAACAATTTGATTTGGTATTTTAGGTTTGGTTTTGTAGACTTCAACAGTGAGGAAGATGCCAAAGCCGCTAAGGAGGCCATGGAAGATGGTGAAATTGATGGAAACAAAGTTACTTTGGACTGGGCCAAGCCTAAGGGTGAAGGTGGCTTCGGGGGTCGTGGTGGAGGCAGAGGTGGTTTTGGAGGCAGAGGCGGTGGCAGAGGAGGTCGAGGTGGATTTGGCGGCAGAGGCCGGGGAGGTTTTGGAGGTAAGTAGCATCAGGGTCTGCATCAGAGGTCACTGCCACTGGGGGAGGGAGACCTGGCAGCTTTGCACCTGTTCTTTAATGACGTCTTCCCTTCCTTCAGGGCGAGGAGGCTTCCGAGGAGGTAGAGGAGGAGGAGGAGACCATAAGCCACAAGGAAAGAAGACAAAGTTTGAATAGTTTCTTCTATCCCCGTCTTTCCCTCTTCCATTTGAAAAAGAAAGGACTCTGGTGTTTTTACTCTGTTACCTGATCAATGACAGAGCCTTCTAAGGACATTCCAAGACAGTATACAGCCCTGTGGTCTACTTGGATATCCATTTAGATAACATTTCAAAGGAGATACTCTGTTGGTTTTGACTGGATATTCGTATAAACTTTTTAAAGAGATGAGTGGTAGAGCTAACCTTATCTGTAAGTTTTGAATTTATATTGTTTCTTCCCATGTACAAAACCATTTTTTTCCTACAAATAGTTTTTTTTTGTGTGTGTTGGGGTATAAAGGAAAGCAGAATGTTTTATCATAATTTTGCTTCAGCAGCTATGGGACAAATTAAAAGTCCTAAACTCTGGTGCCAGACTTGTACTTCCTAGAGTGTTTCTCCTAGAATAACTGTTGCAGGTGGAACATGGTAAACCCACTTCAGATCCACCCCTAGCCTCCGATGGAAATGCTTGGTGCTTAGGTTTCAAATGCTCTAGCCAAAAGTTTGGTGAAATGGAAGTTTCCTCTGGCTTCCTGGGAGTCCAGTGTGTTCTGACAAGTGCTCCAGAAAGAGGAACAGGGGTCCTTTGGCTAGGCCTCCTTAGATACTCACTGAGAATATGGATTCTGGAATAGTCAGTGACTAATAGAATTCATGAAGGATGGATGGACCAATGGAGACTGGCGGGGGGGTGGGGGTGGGGGGACACGACACACTACCAATCCAATAAATGAGCCTTTTATTTTTTTTGTCTACCAGAAACCTTAGATAGAACTATAAGAAAGGCCTTTGGTTTTGCACTATGTTAGTACCCATACATTCTAACTGATTTATTAAACATTCCCTGTCCCTGTTACACACACACACACACACACACACACACATTTTTGTTAGAAGTTAAAGGCTGATGAGATGCTGCCCCAGCCCAGGTAATGTGGCTCAGTGGTTAAGTAATAGATTTATGAGCCAGAGAAGTCACAGTTCAATTCCTGGTGGTGTGGGCACATGTAGGCATGATCTCTACTAGGGGGCATGCAGGAGACAACTGATCAATGTTTATTTTTTTAAAATACATTTATTTTTTTTAGAGAGGAAGGGAGAGGGATAGAAAACATTGATCAGCTGCCTCCTGCACATTTCCCACTGGGCCTGTGCCCCAACCAAGGTACATGTCCTTGACCAGAATCAAATAGGGACCTTTCAGTCTACAGGCCGAAGCTGTATCCACTGAGCCAAACCAGTTAGGGCTGATTCTCATGTTTCTCTTCCTCAAAAATAGATGAGAAAAAAAAATTTTTAAAGTGCCCCAGGTAACAGCTGAGATTTTTAAAAATTATATTTATTTTAGAGGAAGAGAGAAATTGATGAGAGAATCATTGGTTGCCTCCTGCATGTCCCCTATTGGATCTGAACCTGCAAGCTGGGCAGGTGCTCTTGATTGGAATTGAACCTGGGCCATCAGCCCACGGGCCAGTGCTCTATGCACTGAACTAAGCTGGCTAGGGCACAGCTGAGATTTTTGAAATCTGCCAAAAGCAGGTGGACTTAACTACCTGTTGACTGATCAGACTAGTAAAAATGGGAAAAAAGGCTCTACTGGTAGGATTCAATAAACTTGAAGGGAAGTCAACCTAAAAGAGGTGAGCGGGTTGTTTTGTCTCGTTTTTTTGCTAGTGGGATGTGGAAATCTAAGCCATGTTGCACATCGGCCACTTAACAGTCCTGTTCCAGGTACCAAGGACTAAGAGCAAAACAGGTCTTGCTTTTGAGGGATGGCAAGTGCTAATGAAAGTGGTGCTGCCTAGGAAGGTCTGTCCTCTGATAGGGAAACCAAAACGAGCTGGGAACCAGTATTTTCCTAGACTAAAAGTTCTAATTAGTCTATGCATGCCATTAAATTTCAATTCAAGGCTGAGTGGAGTTAGAACTGAACATATCAAAAGTTTTGTTAATGGTACTTAATCCCTCAACTGTCAAGGGCATGTGAGGGATCTTTGTGGGCCACCAGGGATCAATCTACATTGACTAGGGCCTTCTCCCAAGCAAATGCTTGGCTGTTTTGCTCAGCAATTAAGAGGCCTAAGAGTATGTAATAGGCAATTTGGGAATCCAGGAGCATGAAGCAGGATTGCAACTAGCTCAGGCCCATCAGTGCTTATTCAATGCTTGTCTGACTTGGAAACAAGAGTAGGGTTTTGGGGACTTGTTGAAGGGAAGGGAAAGGAGGCTAGAGCCTGACCTGATAATTGCAAGAGGAGTTGTTGGCTGTTAGTGTAGGTCCTGTACTATAAGATACTGTCCTGCCATTAGAGCTAGTCTCTGATAATGCTGAAATTGTCCACAATATGGGGAGGAAAGTTAAGGTTCTTGCTATTTCTTTCCCTTTAAGGGATGGAAACATCAGATCCTGTTAACTCCAGCGTGTGCTGGTTTACAGTAGAATGAAGATGAGGATAGAGGCCCAGCCAGGGTGACCCTGGAACCAGGAGGTCATTGGTTGATTCCCAGTGGGGGGTGTGCAGGAGGCAGCGGATTAATGATTATCATCATTGATATTTCTATCCCTCTCCCCTTTCTGAAATCAATAAAAATAAAAAGTGATGATGGAGGGTAATTACCCTGCAAGGCCGGAGAGAAGTGCTAGGGCCTGCATTTAGGGTCAGGCCCTGTAAACATCCCAGGCCTTGCTGGTACCTGTCTGGTTTCTAATTTGGTGGGTTGAGTGAGTACTTTGCTGCCATTTTATTTTTAATATATATATATATATATTATTTAATATATATATATAATATATATATATATATATATTTAATATATATATATATAATTTTTTACAGAGGAAAAGAGAGGGATAGAGAACTAGAATGATCGATCAGCTGCCTCCTGCATACCCCCTACTGGGGATGTGCGTGCAACCAAGGTACATACCCTTGACCAGAATTGAACCCGGGACCCTCCGGTCCGCAGGCCGATGCTCTATCCACTGAGCCAAACCTGTTTTGGC